ATTCTAGCGAGAACTCCTGCATCTCCACCGTCTTCACCAGCTCGCCCAGCGGCGTCGCGAAGGTCACGACGGGCAGACGCGGCTTGTCCTGCCCGCTGGACTTGAACGAAGTCACCACGCCGCGACATCCGTTCACCAGGCCTTCGCATACGGAAAGGTTCTTCACCAGCATGACTTGCGCGCCGCGCTTCAGCACCAGGCGAGAAGGCGCTTGGCAGCTCTTGCGCAGCTGGTAGCAGGCGCCTTCGTCGTCGCCCGAATCGATGCATACGTATTCGGTAGGAGGCGCGTGCTGCACGCTCTGCACGCTCTGCACGCTCTGCAGGTCCAGGAAGCAGTTCGTGCTGGCGACCTCGCTCTCGCTCTCGCTCTCGCTCTGGATCACGGCCATCGACGCCATCCACGAGCGTCGCACCACGTAGTACCGAATGCTGGCGCCGCCCAGCTCCGCCGGCTCTGCCCACTGCACGCGCAGCGAGGTCGAGGAGAGCGCGGCCACCTCGAGGTTCTGCACCGCGCCGGGCGCGACGACATACGCGGCGAGGGTGATGAGAGAGGAGGCCTCGGAGAGGATGGAGCACGCGGCGGAGCACAGCGCCACGCGCAGCCAGTAGGCCACGCACGCATCGAGAGAGAGAGCTAAAGAGAGAGAGCTCGGGTTGCTGGACGTCGCCCTCTTGGAGGAGCGCGTCGGCGGCGAAGAGCTGGGAGTGGGAGCCAACCAAGGCCTGCACGAAGAGCTCGCACCACCACCAGACCCAGCGCACCTGCGTGGCTTCGAAGGCGGCAGCAGCACGACGGGCGCGGAGGGAGGCAGGCAGGCAGCAGCACGACGGGGCGGTAGACGGAGAAGGACGCGAAGGCGGACCAGGAGGCGCCCTTGCGGACACGCCAGCTGATGGCCATCACGCTGTTCACAATGGCGCCCGCCACCAACACGGAGCGCGTCTCGAAGAACTGGCTCTGCACATTGCTGCCCATCAAGGCCATCCATCGGGGCTTCATCGGAGATGCCACTGCTCCAGGGAACCTCCATCTGCACAGACACGCTGCGCTGCGCTGCGCCTACTCCACTTCCCTCATACCAATCGCGCTCTCCACAATGCGAGCAGGCCACAACCGAACGCCAACCGAACGCCAACCGAACGCCAACCGAACGCCAACCGAACGCCGGCGCGGGTCGAGAAGGTCGCGATGAGGGTTTCCGCGGGGAAGGGGAGGCCGTTTCGGGACACCAACCTGTTGGCATTGATGTAGAGCGTGCGTGCCTTCGCAGAACCGCGGGAAGGAGCCATCGAAGGCGAAGGCGAAGGCGAACCCAATGGTGTAGTCGGAGATGGAGATCGCGGTGGTGGGATAGGAGAACGTGGCCTCGGCCAATTCAAACACGATGTGGATGTTCATGGGCTCGAATGGGTCGTTGATCACCTCGCCCACGCCCACATTGCTCGTGCAGTACATCGTGGATTGCTTCCCATCTCCCATCGTCCACAGCGCCACGTCCCTCGCCCCATCGCCCGCCACGCAGCGCAGCGCAGCGCAGCATCGGCAGGATGGGCTGGCAGGAGCCCGTCCCCTATCGATCGATCGATCGATTCCCACTGCTGATAGGCGTTGCACCCATCCGCGATCATGCCCCACTAGTCCACATCGCACTTCGTATCCAACACTTGCCCCAAGTGCCCTTCCGGCTACCCCGCCGCTTCGTCCGCGGGGCACACCACCGCCACGCACCTCACCTCTCTTCCATTCCACCACTTCCCACACGCCCGCACCACGCACACCCCCACCTTCCCATGCTCCACAGACCCACAAATGCAGAACTGCACCGTCTTGGAACTCGCCTGCTCCCACTGGCCATTCCAGTTGACTCGGCTCCCATCAATCAGAGGCGAGGACCGTACCCACAGCAGTTCGCATACTCCGCCTTCTTGTCCCATTCTCCCAAGTTCCACACACGCTCCGCTTCTACCAACCTACAGCTCTTGCTCCCATAGTTTGCCCTTTCACTCATCGCAAATCCGTTCTCTCTACCACACTCTACCACCTCACAATATGAAAATGAAAATACGAGAAACAGAACAGATATCCTAGGCAAGAACGTCGTGCCTGTACCAGATACCTCCCACGTTGCAAGTTATCTCCATGTATCCGCGGTCACACATGGCATGAATGGGTTCGCCACGTTGCACAGTTTGAAGTACAGAAATTCCTCACTCGGAACACACTCCACACAGCAAAAATGGAACCAGGGTCCACCGCCATTATGGTATTGAATGCGTTCACGATGCATATCTCACACACACAGTTTAGTCAAAGTAACGATAGCACACACTACACTAGCTTCTTCAAACACACCAACTTGACGACAGAACCCATCCCAGCTACAATACTTACACTCCCACAACACAACACACAAAAACACATAGAAGTCCGAAAACAAAACAAAAGACAGGACATACAAGTCCAATTCCAAATTTTGAATACATTCAAACCCAGTAAGACGAATCTAATAGCTTTTATTGTAAAACAAATGATTTCAAAAATACACAGGAATTGTGCAATTGTGAAAATAGTGTTGAAATTGGGTATGAGTGCGAAAGCCCCTAATAGATTTCGAATAGGGAGGGAGTTGTTTTTACTGTGAAGTGGAAGGAGATGAGCGGGAATGGGATATTGTGGAATGAATAGATCGAAGAGTGTTGTTTCCAGTGGAAGCGTTTTGTTTTTCGTTCTATTCATTTGGAATTTTATATAGATGGGATAGAAAGAAATAGGGTATGTAGAAGATGATGATAGGAATGAAAATGGAAAAGCTAGCGATAAGCAGTTTTTGGGTTATCATTTATAGTAATAATATGTGATATGTGTATAGTAGAATCGAATAGTAGAGTTTGTGAGAAAGGTGGGTGTGTCGTTGAAGAACTGAGCAAAATAAGGTAGAATAAATAATATATTTTATACGAACAAATAGAGATATATTCATATTCCACTGTTTCTAGGTTTTTCGATAGTTGGTGTGCAGTTTTTGTCGTTTTGATGCACTCTGAGCCTATCAGAGTTTGTTATATTGCCAGAGAATACTATCTCTTATTCTAACCCGTATAGTATCCCCCACCTGCCAAATAATGCAGAATATCTCCTATTTAAAGGAAGGATCGAATTGTACACCACTTCAATAGGGATACAAAGTGATTCACAATGTTGTTCTATTACGAGCATGAATAACAATAGTATACATAATACTTGCTGTTTGAGTTGGTTGATGAAAGTGAAATGCTTTGGTTCCCAACTCATTAGGATGAATAGAATTACTCACTAATAGCGATATCAGTATTGTTGATGATAAAGCTGAAATCCATAAGAATGGACTCTATGGGAATGAGTAGTTGTCCAATATCAAGCTGTGAG